TTGGTGCACATTAAAATGAGATAATGCATTTTTTTGAAATGATGTGATGGGAAATATGTGGTTGAAAATGAAGGAAAAGTTATTGATGTGATGGAAAATATTATTTTATTGAAGAATATGTGGTTGAAAATGAGTAAAAGAATGAGAATGAAAAAAATAATGTGAGTCAAACAGGGGCTATATCAAAATTGATACTTTTCAGAAAAACAATATGGCTGTCAAGTCCTTAATTGTATCCGTCAATTCCTTTGTAGACATCAAATCGATAGATTACATAAAATAAACAATTGTCACATTATACGGCTGCTTTATGTGACTTTGTGCTCGAGGACAATTTGAAGCATTGCTATATCTTGTATATGTCCAAGTAGCTATGTCAACGAGTCGAGCCCGAGTCGAAAAAAAAAAGCACGGGCTCGGGTCAAGATTTTTTGGGCTAGAGCCAGGCAAAAAAAAAAAAAAAGAGGCTCGATCCGAGCTTTCTGCCCGAGCCTGAGCGGGCCGAGCCGAGCCTGGATTGGACCAAGCCGTTTAGATTTTTTTTTTAATGTCAAATCTACATTTTTACTTAAAAAATTTTAAATTTGTACGATTTATACGTATTATAAATTAAATAAAAAAGTTCAGGCTCGACTCGAGCTTTTTTGGATCGAGTTTTTTTGGGCTCGAGTCGAGCTAAGTAAAGCTCGACCAAAAAAATGAAGCTCAGCTCGAGCCTTGGTTCGGTGTAACCGAGCCGGGCCCGACTAGAGCTTTTTTCGAGCCAACCAGATTTTTTGCCATCCCTACGTCTAAGCATTAAATTTCAAATTATTCTCTTGCCCAAATTTTAAGCAGCCCTTGTTTGACGAGTAATGCAATGTAGTCCCATTAGGACTACAACCTCAATTTAGGTAGCGTTATTATGATATTAAATGATATGTGAAATTAAATAAATCATTTAATTTCACAATTTATTTAACATATCATTTAGAATCATATAAATTGAGATTGCAACTAAAGTAGGGCTAAATAACATTACTCTTGTTTGATACACATTTTTTTCAAAATACATTCTTTCAAAATTCATTTTCAACCATACATTTTTCAATAAAACAATATTTTCAATCACATTAATAAATTTTTCTTACGTTTTAACCAAATATTTCTCATCATATCACTATTTAAAATACATTATTTTTTCAATAATATCCATCAAAGACACCATAAGTACCTTACACTACGAGTTGTGAACAAGCTTCCTTTGAGCTATGCTTGTGGCTTGACACAAAATACCATCTCAAGCTCAGCGTCATTTCGACGAGATCTTGGATTACATGAGTATTATTTAGTGCTTGTTTGGATGCTTTGAAGTGTATATAAATGGTAGGTTTTTCGAAATTGGTCGATAAAACATATATTCAATAATTTAAGAAAAAAAAAATGCCAAACGTACAATAAAGAGTTATTGCAAAGATAATTTGTCACATCCTTTGCCCACATGAGAATATTGAGCTCCAACTTTAAAAAAAAAAAAAAAAAAATCATTTTGGAATAATAATTTGATGAAGAATACATGGTTAAAAAATAAGATTTTTTTTTTGAATTTATGTGTAATATTATTCTATTAAAAATGTATGATTAAAAATAAAAGAAAAAAAATATTTTTAAAATAACAAAACAATAGTTAACCTGATAGATCATATTAGTTGTATAATCGAGGTTGAGAACCACTCACATAGGGGGATCCCTTTTTTTTTTTTCGAATTATTTAAACATGCGAATTTCGTATACATATGAAAGGTTGTCAACATCGATTATAAAAATAACATTTTCCTAACCTGATTGCGAAGGGTTGATGACAAGAAACATTCGCGCCGCCACAAGCACATCCGAGCCTCCAGCCTCGTTCAACATCCAGCTGTGTACAGCCTGTCCCTTAACTCCAATATAAAATCCCTTCAATCCCTTCATTAATTACTTAATTACGCACATAAAAATAATAATCACAAGCTTGACCGTAGAGAATAAAATGACAAATATAAATTTGTTCAGTTTTGAATTTATTCGCTGGCGACAGGCTGTTGCCAACAATGCACCACTAGAGGACTGGTTCTCGACACCTTACACTGTTTCTTCTCTCTCTCTCTCTCTAATGAAATTTCTCTTTGTTTTCACATGATTTAATTATCTGTGGGTTTTGTTTTTTTTTTTTTTATTTGGGCCTTTTCATGAGAATTTCAGTTTTCGCCTTTCAGCTCCCCGAATCGTTGATTTACAACTTGTAAGCTTTCTTCTGATCTAAGTTTCTTATTTTTCGCTTTGAATTTTCTTTCTTTTTTCTAATTCGATTTTTTTTCGTTGCATTGTAGTATCAATGTGTGGATTTTGTGATGGTTTTTAGTTTCTCACGTGCGCTTTGTTCACGAGTTCTTATTTTTTGTGTTGTATTGCCATTTTGGGTGAATACTTTTATGAATGTTAGGTTTATGAATATCTCTACGTGATTTTCTCGACTTTTAGTTGTTAATTAATTTTGCCACAGTTTCGGTTGTTAAATTATTATATCGTGGAACGAATTCTTTGAGCACCCAAACGCGTGCTACATTTGATTTTGACTGTTAAATGCCGTGAAATTAGGTTTGAATGACATAAATAAGGAAAAAAAAAAAAATACTATGTAGATATACCAACATGCGCACGGGGTATTATTCTCTGGGTTTTTCAAGTGTTAAAAAACCTCTAAATCGATTTACACTGTATGTACAGTTAAGAAATGGGTGGTTGGTGTGAATGAATTTAAGGCAACTGAATGGGCGATTCTCAGCCTTGAAATTGTTTGGACAGCAATGGCTGATGAATTTACTTTAATGTTTATTATGACATTTTATGGGTTTGAATAGTTTTTTTTTTTTTTGACGGCCAGCAATTATGCAACACAGTATGCAGATTTTTGAAATAGTTTCAAAAGATCCAAGATTTGCACACCTGAACACAGCGAACATAATGGTTGTGTTGGATATCTGAATGCATTTTGGGTTGGCTTGGCTGCTAAAATGCCTACAATGATGATGTAAACGAATGATTTCACATGATGCAGGGTTAGTGCAGGTTTTTTTTCTTTTAAACTTAGGTAATTTCGTTATTAGATAAACCAACAGCTACCGCCAGTAGCCACAATTAGATTTCATATTGGCCTGTTTGTGTACTTGGCAATCTCCAGCTGGGTGATTCTCCCAGCTTACTTTTCCTGAGTTTTATGTTACTTTACATAATGGAAAATTGAACTTGCTAAATTAAGGTTCTGATGGAATATTTGAAATTGATAATGACACGTGTAATTGACAAAAAAGACAATTCTGAACAAAAAAAAAACATTTTAATGCCATAAGGCTAAATAATCTTGGCAAGTTCAGTTCTGGCTATACATTTGTTTTTCTCGTGGCGAGTCCAATCTAGCCTTTTGTTTCTCTATGGAATAAGACATGGTTGATTTAATAACATTTAGTCTGTTGTATTTGTTAAAGGAGCCCTAGGCTATGCTCCATTTTGTTGACTAATTGCTGCTTCTTCTATGAGGCAAATGAAAGTTGCAAAGTGCTATAAAGTGTTCTGTATAAAAGGACTTAATTTATGTGACTGATTTCTACCAAAGCATGGACCACATTTTTAGTCTTCAGCATTTTTATATTTTGGTTCTGTAGCTTAGAAAGAATTCAGTTCCTTTTGTTAACTTCCCACATCCTACGAATTGTACTACTATCCCCAATAACAAAGAGTAGTTAACGCTCCGTGAGAAGATAAGAGACTTTGCTGCACTCAATAACGTGGCAATGTTGCTAGAAGAAATGAACTAAGATTGCTGAAATCTACCTCAAAAATTACTAGGGTTACCGAATTATTCTTGTTCTAGTATGCATGGGATAGAAATCTTTAATTAAGATATGATTCACGTTTTGCCTAAATAAGAGTCTAAAACATTATTACAGCATCATACTATAGATCTTTGCGTTCTTTTTCCTGTTTATACTTATCTGCTATATTCGTGTCAACCCTGCACACAAGATGAACAGTAAATTTCAACCCATTAAATTAATTTGGTAATGATTTGCTGACTTATTATTTTTTTATTTTCTGCATCTTTGTCACTCTAAATTATTCATCTTGAAATCAAGAAAAAACTTATTGTCTATGACAATTAATAAATTATAGCAATACTTGTACATTATTTTTGGTGTGGATTGTGTTTGTCATTATCATCTCTCTTGCCCATGTGCGTACATGCTGTGCCTATGCATGAATATCACACTGTCTGCAGTTAGCACTAATGTTAATTGCTGATGGAGTGCTTCACCTCTTTCCCCTGCTCATTTACTCTTTATGGTGTAACCATTTCATCCTGTGGTAATATTAATGATTTTACGTGCCTATTTAACTTTTAGGTTGCTTGGTTTGATATTTAGTTCTGAAAGATTTTCGTTAAAATCTAATCGTTACAAGTGTGTTTAAAACTCTGCTTGAAATTTGGCTACTTTGTATCAGTGATAGCGGAAAGCAATCGAAATCGAAAGTTGTGAAACTGCTTTGTGTTGCTTCCTCGTGATCTTTGTTCGAGGATTTAATTGATCTACCCAGTGATCTTATATGGTTATTTCGGAGTCAATAAGAGCAGTCCATTATTGTTTTCAAATATACTCTGCTTGTTTTGAGCTGCCAAGAAGGAATACTATATTCAATATAGAATTTCCTTGTCTCCATGCTGGCTGAGAGCATGCGTGGAATCTGTGCTTTGGGCAATGCCCATTACAAGAGTCATTGCTGATGCACTTGCTGTGGTGACAATTTGTCTTGTTGCTGTTCTGGTCCTTCTGGGTGTATTTTGCACCTTGTACTTGCTTTACTTCCGCAATCGGACCCATAGTCGAGGTCTTGTTTGGCTCAATGATTTTAGTGGTCCTTGGATTATCAGAATTGCATTGATCTCTTTTGCAATCTGGTGGGGTGTTTGGGAGATTATTAGGTTGAATCTATTGAGACGTGAAGGAAGAATCTTGGATGCCCTCAACTCGAAATGGCAGGAAACTATTTGCAAATGCTACATCATTTCAAACCTGGGGTTTGCAGAACCATGCCTTTTTCTCACCCTGGTATTTCTTCTTCGTGCATCATTACAGAGGTCTGGGACACTAAGCCGGAAGTGGAATGCGAGAACAGCCGGTTGTGTAATTCTTTTTTGTCTCCCGATGTTCATTCTTCAGCTCACAGTTATATTAATTGAGCCGAAGTATAGCAAGAACAGTTACAAGAACAAACTGCCTCCATATTTCTTCAACGCAGCTTTTTCTAAGACAAAGGACAATGACAATGTTACCATCTGCACTTACCCTCTGTTTAGTACTATCATCCTCGGTCTTTTTGACACTGTCCTGACTACATACTTGTTCTGGATCGGCAGGCGAATTCTTCATTTGGTCATCAATAAGGGTTTGAAGAAGCGAGTGTACACATTAGTCTTTCCTGTTTCGGTTCTTTTTCTCTTAAGAGTACTTCTTCTTGGTCTATCGGTCCTATTTGAGCCAGAAAATCTTTTGTTTGATGCCATTGCATTTTTGGCTTTTTTCTCTCTTCTATCTTGTGCGGGGGTTGGTATCTGTATACTGGTCTATCTTCCTGTTGTGGATTCTTTAGCTGTGAGGAATCTGCGAAGTGATGCGGAGGCTAGATGTAATGATGAGTACAACGACGCCATTTCACTAATTTCTACTCATAGCCCTCTTGAAGAAAGTACAATAATTGGTCCGAGGAGAAACTCAGGTGACTCTCCAAACCGTGGATCAATTTCTTTTCGCACAATGGAAAAGGATGAAACTTCCAGAGCTCTTTTTGGAACTTAGCATCTGCAATCCTAGTCGGCATTCAACCCCTCCCGAGTTCATCTAGACTACATTGCTGGCCGCCATTTTTGTGGTGAACCATAACTTGTTTGTAAAGAGTTACTTTTTTTAATAAGAATTGGCTAATTTCGGTTTTGTTCTTGAAAAGTAGTTTGCCTGTTACCCCCACCTTGGGTTTTTTTTTTCGGTGGAGCTCTCCAGTTGTATCTCTTAAATTTTGCAGCTACAACAATTTAGAGTTCTATTTTATGAAGGGATGCCTTTTTAATTTTGTTTTCTTTTTAAGCAAAGTAGCATAATGTTTATTTTTTATTTTTTATGTATGATTGAACTTTGTATGTCTTAAGATTTGCTTCAAGTTTATTTATCGAGTATTTTCAGCGCGATAGATAGGTTAATTTAGCCTTAGGGTAAAAACTGTCCACAGTAACTGCATCCCCAAAATAGTCACAAAATAGTATGTATTAATAATGTAGTATGGATGTACTGATAACATTACAGCCTTCAGGAATTTAGAGCCACGTAAACCTTGACTGTCAATTTATGGGTTAATTCATTTGTATATAATGGTTTGTACATAATAGATTACCCTCTCTTACATAATGCGCGGGGTTCGCATGTATTTAAAAATTTCAACAATGTGGTTTCCACCCCCATTCTGAGTTACGTAAAAGATTCAGTACATGTAGCATGATCCGTCAATTTATTGTGGACACAACTCGTAGCAGGAATTTGTAAATTCCTTAAAAAATTCAATTTTTGTAGTAAATTTTGATAAATTTTGATAAATATTGATAAAAGTTGAGTAATGTTATTTGCTTTCGCTTACCATCGTAGTCGTTCTATGTAACATACATATGGTGGTTAGTGATTTGATGTATAAACGTTACATATGTCACGTATGACGGTTATAGTATTGAGCTACTAGAAATAACATTATTCATAAAAGTTTGTGATAAAAAAATGAATTTAAAAAAATTGGGCTAAAGGTGCCAAATAGGAAACAAGGGAGGGAAAATAGATAACTTGATTAATGACCATTGAACTTTGCTATAAGTTATTATTTGCTCACCATATTTAAAAAGTTACTCCTTGTTCACTGAATTTATTTATATGTTACTACTTGTTCACTGAAATTTAAAAGTTTACTTGTTACTCACCTAAATTTGAACAAAGTTGGATGATTGAGAGTAACTTTGTTCAAATTTTAGTGAGCAACGAGTACCTTTTTAAAATTCGACGAACAAGTAATAACCTATAATAAAGTTGAGTGAATAAAGAGTAACTTTTTAAATTTTGATGAGTAAATAATAGCCTGTAACAAAATTCAATAATCATTGACTAAATTAACCCAAGGAAAATAAAATTTCTCTCTTTAAAAACAAGAATATCTCCAATTTTGTGAACATTTATCTAATCCCCAATCCCCATGGCGTGAGTCATTCTCTCAATAAAATCAAACAATGTATCCTGCAGTTGCTCTTTGATTGAACAAAGTCGATGAAACTTCAGAATAATATTCACCGTTCCTTCACAAGATCCAAATATCTGTTACTGTCACTTTCCAGTCATTTCATCCGAAAATTTCAGTTCTCAACTGAAGTTGCAACATCAACACCGCTCACCAAGAAAGCATGCATAGATCTCCTCAAGGCCTGCAAATCGATGGCCCATCTGAAACAAATTCAAGCACTGCTTTTCTCTCAAGGGCTACACCAGAACATCGACATTCTTCATAAGATAATGGCCTTCACTACTGCTATGTCGAACTTAAGCCACGCCGAAAGAATTTTTGATCACATCGAGAACCCGAGCTTATTCATTTATAATGTTATGATCAAAGCGTATGCGAAAAGGGGTTGTAATGAGAAAGCAATTTTCTTATTTGATGAATTGCGTGTGCGTGGGTTGTGGCCTGATAATTACACATACCCGTTCGTGTTTAAGGCTGTTAAAGGGTTGGGGGAGATTGATCGAGGGGAGAGGATTCATGGGTTTGTTATAAAAAGTGGGGTTTTATTTGATTGTTATGTTTGTAATTCGGTTATGGACATGTATGGGGGTTTGGGATGTGTGCAGAGTTTAAGCAAGGTGTTCGAAGAATTATCTCTGAGAGATGTGGTTTCGTGGAATGTATTGATTTCTGGGCTTGTCAAAAGCGAGAGATTTGAGGATGCTGTTCATGTATATAGGAGGATGAGAAAAGAGGGTAATGTAAGACCGGATGAGGCTACAATTGCTAGCACTTTATCTGCTTGCACAGCATTGAAAAACTTTGATCTTGGTAAGGATATTCATGAATATGTGAAAACCGAGATTGGGTTCACGATGATAATTGGAAATGCACTGTTGGATATGTATGCCAAGTGCGGCTGCTTGGATGTGGCCAGGGGAATTTTTGATGCTATGCTGGAAAAAAATGTTATTTGTTGGACTAGTATGGTGTCAGCATATGTGAATGGTGGTTTACTGGATGAAGCTAGAACACTTTTTGAGAGGAGCCCAGCAAGAGATCTCATTCTCTGGACAGCCATGATTAATGGGTATGTGCAGTTCAGCCGCGTTGATGAGGCGATGGCCTTGTTTAGGGAAATGCAAATGGCAAGAGTTAAACCAGATAAGTTTACTTTGGTTGCGTTGCTTACTGGGTGTGCTCAGTTGGGAGCTTTAGAACAAGGGGAATGGGTTCATACTTATTTGGAGGAAAACAGAATACCAGTTGATAGAGTAATTGGTACTGCTCTTATAGAAATGTATGCAAAATGTGGCTGCTTAGAGAAATCCTTGGAGATTTTTCATAGTTTGAAAGAGAAAGATACTGCATCTTGGACGTCAGTAATTTGTGCGCTTGCCATGAATGGGAGAACTTCCAAGGCTATAGAATTATTCTCAGAAATGATGCGAACTGGGATTCGGCCCGATGATGTCACTTTTATAGGTGTTTTAAGTGCTTGCAGTCACGGAGGGCTAGTAGATGAAGGCCGTAGGTATTTTGATTCTATGACTAATATCTATTACATTGAACCAAAGTTTGAGCACTATGGATGTATGATAGACCTTCTTGGCCGCGCTGGACTGTTAGATGAAGCTGAGGAAATTGTAGCTACAATTCCAAATAAAGATAGAAACATTATCATCCCACTATATGGTTCTTTACTTGGTGCTTGCAGGAACTATGGCAATGTTGATATGGGTCAACGCATTGCCCAGTGGCTAATGAAAATTGAGTCTAGTGATTCTAGCACTCATTCACTTCTAGCTAATATTTATGCATCTGCCAATAGATGGAATGATGTAACACAAGTCAGAAGGAAAATGAGAACTCTAGGGGCCAAGAAGTCCCCTGGGTGCAGTTTAATCGAGGTTAATGGGAATGTCAGTGAATCCGTAGTTGGATAAGCACCTATCCCTATATGGCAAACAAAATGCGCGATAAAATATGATAGTTTAGCTCTATACTTTTCTGATGATAATGTGTCAGCACCCTAACACATAACTGAGGGATGCATATCACCCTCGCAAAAGAGCAATCTAATCAACATTTTTGTCATCCAAGATCAGGAAATTCCCTTGTTTAGGGTTAAATGTGTTAAACGTTGTAAGGTCATAGATAAGTACAGCGGCCCCTTGGAGAGTTGGAGTTGGGATCAAGGCAAGAAGATAGGTGTTGAAAATGCCAGATATTATGGAGGTCATACCACAGCAGAGCAACTCTGCGCACGTGCCCAATTTATTCTAGAAAGTGGCACAAGAAGATTGTGGAATTGTCTTAATTCACGTCTGGTCTGTGCTGATGCTATTTATGACCTGGGATTGACGATAAATTTTGTAGAAAGTTCCAGGCTTCCAGCTTCACAGATGAAAGTTTTTAACGATGGCCTTATCAAAGAGCAGGCAGGTATATTTTCAACACAATAATATTGGACCATGTAAACTGTTGTTGATCACATTATGCTGTAATTGCATGAAAGTTTTTTTTAGACTACAATTATTTACTGTAATTCAAACAAAAGACGGTGTTCGATTATGTTTAACACCGATCATTCTCACATTTTTTACTCAGCAGCTAGTTTGAGTGCAGTTGCTATTTGGAGACGAAGATTGTGCATTTTCTACAACGTATATGGAAAGTTGCTCCGACAGCATGTTTGATTAAAATTTCAATGTTTCCATGCGTACAGAAGGATTTTCACCAGAATTCCACTAGATGAGAGATAAAGAGTGGGTCCCACTATATATTTAAATATTATAAAAAATGGGGGGCCCCACCGTGTTGTGTGTTTTCTGTGGTGTACTTTTCTGTACACCCAGAATGGCTTAAAATTTATTATACCAAAAGAGCCACTTTCGTGTTTACACCCGATCTATAACATTGTTTTTCAAAGGAAAATAGAAGAATTGATCACATTTGCAAAGATGGAATGTAGCCTAGTAGGTGTGTCAAATTGTCAATACTCAACCAGCTACGAGTTTAGATCTGTTGTCCATTCAATTAGTCATATACACATCATTTTAAGTTAACATATCCAACTTTTGTCTAACTACTCCTTATGCTTAAAAATATGTGACATTTTAATGTAAAATAACGTGTCAATAATTAATTGATAGATAGTAGATTGGACGATCTATGTCAACTCACCAACTGCTTATCAATTGGTATGTTTTAGTTATTGCAAAACACATAACTTCTAATTGCATAATTGCTGTAACGGTTTTTTTTTTTGTTGCCAACGGTATATCCAGGTTTCCTTTTAAGCAGGGCGTTCACTTTAAACTGCAGATATGGCAAATCAAGAGAACCTATATGGTTGATTCATAACAATAATGTTTCCAGAAGAGCACGATCCAAAAAAAATTGGTAAGTCTTACTATGATATGATGGTCTTATGCACATATGGTAGTTATCGATATGATGTAGCCACTGAAGGAGAAAAAATATAATATGACAGTCTTTTGCACATATGGTACGATTTATCATTTAAATCATACACCTTAGAGTCCCATACTCTGAATTAGTCAAATCGCGACATCTCGACATCCAAGGTGATAAAAGAGGGAAATAAGTGGATGGTATTATCTACTCGAACGCGAAGATATCATAATTTGAGTAGGTCTAGTTTGAAGTGTCACGATTTAAGACCGTGACTCTCTTTTTGAAATTTTGGTCTAGCTGTAAAATGAACTCTTACCGTACAAAACGAATTCATGAGATATTTTAAGCATCTCCTTTTAAACATTACTTTTGACGAGTATTTCGTTACTCTCTTTGGCTAAACTATTGTTTCAAACTTGGTAGTATCTCGGAAAGTTGATTATTTATTTAACAATGAAATAAAGAAGAGATGAAAAACATAATCAAAATCCTTATTTTTAAACAGAAAAAAAAAAGTTGGTCAAAAATTTAAAATTTTACCTAAAAAACGAATTTCTTTAAGCGTTTGAATATTCCACGTGGCGGTCAAATTCAGCCAGCAAAAGGTACGCCGTAGAAAGCAGGGGGCAGCTATTGCGGACCAGTCAAAAATATTAGGTGCATAATCGTAATTTCAAAATAATTTAGTCACGCGTGCCGCCGCCTCAAATACACGTTCCTGCAATAAAACAAGCCTTCTGTTGGTACCCAAATCAGAAACCCTAGAAAGTTTGCCATAGCCACTTTCTGTTGTTGAATTTCAGATTGTTTGTGAGAATTATGGCGTCGTTCAATGAAGCACCTCCCGGCAATGGCAAATCCGGAGAGAAGATCTTCAAGACCAAGTGCGCTCAGTGCCACACCGTTGAGAAGGGCGCCGGCCACAAACAAGGTCCTTCGCTCCCCCAATGTTTCTTTTAATTTTGGAAATTGTATCGTTTTTTTTTCCTGTATATGGATCTGCATGGTCTGCTATGTAAAGATATTTATCGGATTTTATTTATGTATTCTTGAAATGCGTTAGTGTGGATTTTTAGCTCTCAATTTATTATTTAAATTAATTTGAATTTGAATTTTTTGGGCGAGTCGAAGTGTATGTATTAGATCTTGGATTCAGTGAAAGGAAATAGAGAAAATATCATCTGAACACGGGTAGACTTCAATATACACATTTTTTCACTTGATTTCTTTTGATTTGAACAGTTCTGAGGTTTTAAGATTTGGTGATCTTGATAAGATAGAAGTTCAGCATATTATGTATTCCGTAACTTGGTTCTTTTACTCTAGTATAATTCAGGATAGATTTCAAATATATGAACTTGAAAAATTGTGAATCTGCTAAGAGTTTACTAAGTGGGTATTTAAATGAAATAGGCTCATTGCCTCTAACAATGAAGTTACAATCTACATGTAATAGGAATTATTACTTTATATTTCCCTCTACTTGTTTTGATGTCTATTGATTTGTTTATGGGTTAAAAGTCTAGGAAATTTGTACTTTAGCCTCATGACGTTCATGTTCCTTGTGCTTCATAGAAAATCTTTGAGCTCTCTTGAGTTTTATAGTGATTGAGGTGGAGATAAATCTACCTTATATCATGGATATATTTGAGTTTAACATGTAAGTTTTTGTTCAGATAACTGGTCAAATAATGTTGAGTTCTCCTTCAGACTAATTGTTGGCTGAATTAATTTATTCTTTTGGTTCAACATCTAAGGCTTTTTATTAGATAATAGGCTGAAGGTTGTTAACTCTCTTAGTTTGCTCATCAATAGTTGGCTGAATATTTGCATGTGTATGTTTGTAGTGAGATTCCTGTTGTTGTGGGATGAATATTTGGCCCTCCTTGTACTGTTGTTATGTAATACAGAAGATAGTTGAGTACTGGCTGATTCTGTTCTCACTTCCATTTGTTCTCTCTTATTTGTTGAGAATTTCTCATGCTTCTGAATCTCCAGGTCCTAACTTGAGCGGCCTTTTTGGAAGGCAATCTGGCACTACCCCTGGTTATTCCTACTCTGCTGCCAACAAGAACATGGCTGTGACCTGGGGAGAGAATACTCTTTATGATTATTTGCTTAATCCTAAGAAGGTCAGTGGACATCTAAGTGTTTATTTAATTCAATTAGTTGTGTAAAATGGGAGTTGCAGCTAATATTTTCTTGAAGCCGTTCACATTTCCTTTTTATTCCCAAGATTAATATTTACGTTGAACCAGCGAATTCGATTCCCTGGTAAACAACTTATGGTTTTAGTTGGATTTCAAATCATCAGCCAGACCTCATGATTGGAGTCAATTCCTCGACTTTAGCGTATATATAATTTTCAGAACACATTTGCTAGATAGGGTGTAATAAGTACATGTTACATTTTTTTGAAAATTACAATTTACCATGAAATGCAATTACATAATAAACTGAGTGATATTCTATTTTTTATGGAGACTTAATGTGGAACTTGGTATGCATTTGTATAAATTTTAATGTCCGAAAATATGGATGTGAAATGTAATTACACCTTGGGTTTTAATCCTGTTTAATGGACATCAATGAATTAAATGAATTTAAAATCCATTTTGAAGTTCAAACTCAACCTATTTAAAATGAAATCATAGAGGAACATCATATGCATAGTTACGCTAGGTATAATTATAGGGCTTGATCAAAAAGTGTTTCGATTTCAAATACAAGTTCCTAGATAGCTGGGGCTTGTTTTGCATAGACTAAAAGAAATTGTTATCTCATCAGTGGTGCTATAGAGTAGAACATATATGGGGGATTAGTAGACCAAGAGTAATGTGGCATGTTGGCACAATATTTGGTTTTAATGACTTCACAGTAGAAGAAGCTTTGGACTGATGAAGTGGTGAAATAAGGGATTATTTTGATTGGATTCTAAGTTTAGAGGATCTCCAAGAGACTCTAAATGCAAAATGTACATTACAGAAGCATTGGACTGATGAAGTGGTGAAAAAAGGGATTATTTTGATTGGATACTAAGTTTAGAGGATCTCCAAGAGACTCTAAATGCAAAATGTTCTTTACTTAAGAGAATTCATGTTTGAAAATAAGCTACAAGAGACTCTCTATTTTAACTTTTTAAAATAAAAAGTGATTTGATTCTCCAAGTTTAGAGAGTAACTCACTTTATATTTTTAATTTACAATTATTGCATTTTTAAGTTACAAATTTCAATACTCTACTTCTTAAATTATTCAAACCTTATTTAAATTGATTGATCATTAACGTATAAAAAAATGTCAAATAAAATATGTGGAGAAATCAATATCTTTTGAGAAAAGCAAAATGAAGAGCTAAAACAAATGATATTGTTTGAGTGTATAAAAAGTATAACTCTCTAAATTTAAAGATGATTTCTATTATGCATAAGATGCTCTATTAGGGATAAGGCTTAGATCGATATTTGGTGTATATTCACATGAATGATAAGATATCATCTAAATGGTTTATCGCTTTCTTGTTTTTCTGTTTTCCTTTCAGCGTATCTTAGCTCATATTTTGTAAGATACCTTCCTCTTTTTCGCCATTTGCGTTGGATATTTTAAATGTATATATTGCAAACAGTAGTTATGGGATTGTTGATCTTCCCCACATGGTATGAAAAAATCCTGCCGAGGCCCGCCTAGAGNGTCAAATAAAATATGAGGAGAAATCAATATCTTTTGAGAAAAGCAAAATGAAGAGCTAAAACAGATGATATTGTTTGAGTATATAAAAAGTATTAAGTCTCTAAATTTAAAGATGATTTCTATTATGTATAAGATGCTCTATTAGGGATAAGGCTTAGATCGATATTTGGTGTATATTCACATGAATGATAAGATATCATCTAAATGGTTTATTACTTTCTTGTTTTTCTGTTTTCCTTTCAGCGTATCTTAGCTCATATTTTGTAATAGACCTTCCTCTTTTTCGCCATTTGCGTTGGATATTTTAAATGTATTTATTGCAAACAGTAGTTAAGGGATTGTTGATCTTCCCCATGATATAAACATTGTTGGTATCTAAGTTTTGTGTGTTCAGGTTTTTATGCATGTAAATTGAGTTCATTATTCTTAACATATAAGTTGTCCCCCTTGTATCGTTTACATAATGTTTTTCTTCCACTATTTTGCCAGCAACATTAATCCTCTTCTTTTGTTTGGGTAGTGTTATACACGAGGATGCATGTCTGTCTGATTATTCACGTGGTTGAAATAATGCTTGCTTCATTTTGAAATGGATATTTTTGGTTGCAGTACATTCCTGGAACTAAGATGGTTTTCCCTGGACTGAAGAAGCCTCAAGATCGTGCCGATCTAATAGCCTATCTCAAGGAGGCAACTGCGTAAAGCTTATAGCTTTTAGGAAGCTAGTAATATTTTATGAAACACGTGGAGATTGGTCATTGGTGTCATTTGGGAAATTTTTTCTTGAGGAATTGCAATTCTATTGAATAAGCATCACAGTTATGCACTGTGCTATTTGTTTGTTTTGAGTTTTTACGCCAACAATGGAAGATTTTGTTGTGCCTAAGGCTCATGATTTTTTGAACCGATGTAGTCGGGTACATTTCATTTCATACGTTGATGAATTCATAATATGATATTTTACTTCTTGTTTCACATATTGATTAGCAGTATCTTGAAGTTGTTTTTGTTTTTACTGTTCAGTTTCGATTGAGTTTTCAGATGTTCACGTCTATGCAAACAAGCAATGATTTTCGCAAATTGATTTCATTTTTTCTATAATTTTTCATCGGTTATTTACAATTCAAGGTGACTGATCAGTAAATGTTAAAGATGGGAAGAGTGGTAAAAGAACACACACAAGCTTGCTTCATGAGTGACTAGAATTCAAGACTTGAGGATTTGAATGCACTGTACAAATTTATAGAAGATTCATAAATTAGTTAAAATTAAATATTAGTCTCAGTTACGTATTCATAACTATAACTATTACTTACATGTGTGAGATCTACTACTATTTCTCTTTATTCTTCTTTATGGCGGAGGCTCATTAATGATTTTCCTTAGTTTGTTTTTAGCAACTTCACTAGAGCATGTTTGTTAGTACGGGTGATGATTTCAATTTTTAAGTTAATTATTCTAAACAAATAGTGCTAAATAGCACCTCTTGTGCTTTTATCAATCCTAATGGATAATGTGACATTAAATGATAAATTCAATTAAGTCCTTGTTTGATGAGAATTAAAATCAAATTTTTATTAAATTTTGATAAAAGTTAATGAAAAATACAGTTGAAAAATAGTAGATGTAATTAAAATTAATTATTGACCAACTTAAATTAAACTAAATTTTAATAATCATCAAACTTGGGCTAAATATGTAACAAGACCTATTTCATTAGACCCATCGTGTCTCTTACAAAACAAAACCGATCATCAATTTTAAACGAAAAACCAGACTGGATTCAATACACAGCCATATCCAAGACATGCTTAATTCAAGTCGAACAAAATATTCACGGCCAATCGCACTATAAGAGTAATATATCCCTGTTTCCTCCTGTGGTTTATTTAATATATATATTGAGTGAAATAGGCGTTTCACCATCTGAGGAAAGACAAGTGTGTGTATCGTCGAGATGTTATGTATCAACTCCAGAAATGAGATGCAAATAGAATCTGCCAACAAGGCAGCTCCAAAACCTTCATAAACACATGCCCCATGTACCAAGTAGGCCTTTAGCCACTATATATATATATTCATGTTTCTAGCTGCTTTCTACAAAATTCTATCGAGGGTTCGACATAAAATGCTTTTTATGTAAGATTCCTGTGTAGGGAGGAAATTTCTCTCAACCCGAGTGAAGAAACCGGTTGTTCCCTTATCTGAGATAGAAGGATGGAAACTTGCTCAGTTGCCATATCTAGGCGTTCTTTCGACTTTGCAGATTCTGTTACAAGAGTCGATACCATACTCTGAAATAGTTGAATCCTTTCCGTATGGTCATTTGGAGCCATCTGATTTAGTTTTGTGGACAACATGCTGATTCTTCGCCAACGCAGGGGCAAATACCTTTCTGGGATTTGGAAGCAATTACCAGTTGAGAGAACTCGAAGAGCATGCCTACAGAGGATTCCAGAGAACTCAAACTGGTGGCAACTGCAACTAATGATGCCTTCACGTGGGACCCAATAAACTTTTCGACCTCCCTCGAGTTTTGTGTGGTGTCTGACGAGGAAACCATCTTCGATCTGAAATGATGCGTAGTGAGCGGCCATAACGAGTTGCTCTTGGAGCTTCGAGAATGCATAAGGTGTGAGAACAGCAGCTGCATGGGACTCCATGGGAGCCCCTGTTTTCAGGGAAATGTTTTGGAGATTCTGCTGCATTGTTTGTTGTTCTCCAGCTTGATCCTTAAAATCCACAGCAACAGCTACCTGATGGTAAAGCAATGTCAAACAGCAGCAAGAAAAAAAATTTAATATCGCTGAACCCTAGTAACCTAGCTGGCAAAAATCTAGTTTATATTTTATGTTCAGAGTTTCTTCCTAACAAGATGACAACAAATGAAAAAGAGACTACTACAAAATAAAGTTCTCAATAAAATTCTTTTTTAAAGGCTGATTAAAAATTATTCATAGTTTCACTAACAGTCCAATAGCAGTCTCTGAAATAGAGTTTGTGGAATCACAATTTCTCCTTGTTATGGAGTATTCAACCCAAAACTAAGAGTTAAAAAATCTAAAACAGCAACTTGGAAAAGAATTTATTGTAATAATGAGAACAAATGACCGCTGCCTCTGTTGTTAGTGCCAAACTCTCTTATTTCCTCTAAAGCTATTTGGATACTTAGAGCAAAATTTTAGTCACTTAAATATCAATCAAGTGGCACACTTTCGGATCATTTTCACGTCTCTAACGAAATTGTTACCAAAAAAAAGATTCCACATTAGCTTTTCTATTAAGCCTATTCAAGTCAATTTACACACAACAAATTTCAATTCCTATGAAAGATTAACAGTCGTTTATCCTAACAAATAAAATCATACAAAAGCAAAGGCTGTTTTACTGGTGCAAGAAAATCATGTTATTAAACTCTCGTTACTTGGTGAGATCCGAAATATACAATGTAATTAAACGTAATACCATTAATTGACAAGAATCTGTGCAAATTTTACTAATGCTATCTCTGACCTAGCAGCAGATTTATTTCCAGAAATTCGCTCTGTACTGATGAAAGGGAGACACAATAGCCATTCAGTGCATGGTCGGTATGAGCAATAAAAGTAAAAACCCGGGGTTGTTTAAGATCCTCAACGTGCTCCATTAACTCATGTGAAAATATGTCAAGAGACATAGGCAAAGAAAGATAATCTACCCTCCAAGATTTAACAAAAAGGTTCAGATGCCATAAAAGAGGATACTATTCTGTCTAGACAAGACTAATGCATAAAGGATATTAAAGTTTTTTTAAGTCATCCACCAGTATAAAACTCATATACACTCAACCAACAACACACATCCTAATGAGATATGATGAATAAATTTAATATCGCTAGATAGCTTGAAGTAAGAGAACATACTTGTTCCAAGAAATGTGTGAGACGGGTTTGTGAACTCAAAAATCGTTGAATAAAAGCATTAATTGACTTTGAGAGGCCAGGTGTGGTCATTCCTGCAAAAAAATGGCTTCTCAAGTATGGCAATGCCCAAAACGATCTTAATGCATACAGACTAGCTATATGCCTGTTCGAATGCAAACCAAAAGAATTCACCATCTCTCTCCAGCCCAATTCAAAATCGTCAATTGCTTCTAGATTGTACAGTCGATAAAACTCAGCCTTCCACTCATTGTACCGTTCTCCCAGAACAGCATTAAACCACGAAGGAAATTTTGCCACTATAAGCCATATGCAAAGAGCATGTCTGGTAGTTGGCAGCTCCATTCCTATTGCTTCTTTCAGACACATATTTTGGTCTGTTAATATTGTTTGCGGAGCTTTCCCATTCATAAATCCCAAGAAAGCCTTCACAACCAAATGACGATTACAAAAACCCAAAAAAAAAAAAAAATTAGCATACAATTTCTAATAGAAGAGATACAGATTACCTTTCAAAAAAGAAGAGATACAGATTAAATGTGTGCATATTTAACTGCTATGGAGAAAAAAAAAACGACTGCCCGGACTCCTTTTCTTTTACTATGTTACATTTTTTCTTTATTCAGTTTTTGATTTCTTATTTTATTATTTGGGGGTGATCCAGATCTACAGGCAGTGATAAGAATTTGCACCAATTCAAATAGTGTGAAAATGTGTGCCATGTGAAATTATATCACCAATAGAGAAGATGTAACCCATTTTCATTTTTGATATTATGGTTACAGCAAATAGGGGGTAACAAAACCATGAACCCAGTTATTCACATTAAAATGCATGGCCATCTCCAGTTTGACACATAATCGGTCACTTTTTTTCTTGGCAACCTCCCCCAGTCCAAAGGAAAGAAAAACACACAAGTTATTCGGGAAAAATTAAATGGTAGTTACAGAGATAGGATAGAATGAGAATTAGAAGCATAAGAAAGTTATATTAGTCACTTCATTACCTTCAAAGCCCATGAGAATGACCTCAGGTTTTCCTCTCGTAGGAGCACGCAACCGAAAAAGCACGGCATACCATAATTGTTTATTCCAACCCATATTCCAAGAGGCATGTCAAAAGCTGTCAACCGATGTGTAGTATCAAACACCACAGAATCGCCAAAAATCTCATATGACTGGACAGATGAGGCATATGACCAAGATATATTCTCCAATCTGCTGTTGGAATCAAGAGTAAACTCAAATTTAAAATTGGGATCTTTATCTTTAATGTTTCTGCACATCCTTAGTAAATCTATGCTCTCGTCCTCTAGATCAACTTTCCTAAAAGATTGAAGCAAATTTCGGACATCTTTCTCTGTGAACGGCAAATATCCAGGCTCTACACACTTCTCAAGTTCCAGTAGCCGCATCATCTGTTGCACTGAAATTCCAGTCTTGGCAAACAAGAGGATACGGTTCTTGTCAGATTCTGATATGGTACGATATGCAGGAAGAAAGCGCACTTGATTTGGTTCTAGGAGTTCGTGATTATGGTGGTTTGCAAACCCCGTAACCCGCCATTCAGGTACTCCTAATTCAGTTGACTTGGTTATACGCATATATGCTTGACATCCACACCGTGAAGATTTTCTGTTCCTTTGGGGCTTGTTTTCATTTGAGGTTTTAACAGGAGTATTACCAGCTCTGTGGCAGACAAAGTAACGCCTCGTGAGACCTTTTCCAATACCATCTTTACCTTCTGTACGATGGCGCCGAATCGAAAATCCACACCTTTTTGCAAACTCACTGTAGAACTCATAAGCAGCATCATGAGTTGCAAATCTTTGCCCAATATATGGAATGGCATCGTTTGTTGTTTCTAAGGACAGTCTTGTTTCATCTGGTGATTCCTCGGCACTGCTTGTATCATCCAAAGATAAGGATCTTTGATCCGAGGGATCATCATATACCAGCATCATATGTGCAGCCTCTTCAGACATTGTAGCCTTCTCAAACCTCAATTGATGTAAATCATAGGCCTTAAATCATCATTAATTGGAAACTAGGAAAGGAGAAGGGAGAAATTTGTCAACTCCCATGACCAGAACAAAAGGAAGTAAATAGACTACTTTCAAAATTGAAAACAACAAAGGCATGAGCATATTTATCTCAACAACAGGTTAACTTTCTGGGTCAAATAGAAAATGTTATGAGGTGGCATAATGGCCAGTTACACTTAGGCATTAGCTAGTTCAAACACTGCACTTTCTATTTATCTAAAAAGAAAAGAAAAAAAAGAATAAATGCTTGCATGATATGAAGTCTTCACTTTGAAATCTTTCTATTAAACAAGAAAGCCACAAGGTATTGGTCATGACTAATCAATAATGAAGGTACTAGATATTTGTTAATTGACCCCTCTCTTTCAGTCTTCGAAGAATATTGCAGCATGGATAAATTCATAAAGAATTTGAATTTGTAAATGTACCTATTGTAACTCATAATATCTAACACTGCATAAATATATCCAACAATCTCTTACATATTAATGGGTGCTTTCTAATCCGAGACATGCATCTCATACAACAGATAGTACAATGTCATAGTCCATATCAATTGAACGAGGTCATCTATGGCTGAAAATTTGTCAAGAAATTCAAACACCTAATGACAGCATCATATTCAAGCGGTACTTTCTATCAAGCATATCTTCTTCTCAACTAACAGCATATTTACTTTCTAACGAAAAAGTTCGCTTATCAAAAAAAAAAAAAAATCAGGCTCCAGGTTTTCCTTCACGCACTCCTATAAAATCTTGAAACTTGCACTGAGACCCCACAGTATAAATATAGTCTAACTTGCATTTTCAGCAGTTAGAGCAAAAACCAAAAAGCCAATATAAATGTATCTGCAGAACAGAATTTCGATATCTATATCTCATGTTCAACACCTACACCAGATTAAATTCATTATTTCTGGCCTCTTATTCTATTGAAACTGCTAGCTCCAAAAAAATAAAAAAATTAAAGTACAGTCCTAAAATAGATGTGTTACATTCAGCGAAATATAACAATACAAACAAAAATTATGCACGTATACCCGAATTTTCGGAAAAAGAAAATAAACAAAAAAAGACGTACACAGGTTTTATTATTACTTACATTATTCACACATGGGCGATAATTCATTCGACGAAGTGAGGACGAACCCTAAATTGAATCTTCATGTAATGGATCTCACGATAATATGAATATGAACCTGTGTATGATTCATTCAATCCCGCGATGAGTAATTGATCCGTAGGCGAAAGAAGTGAGGACGAACCCTAAATTGCGCTGGAGTGTGATGACCCCTTTTATGTAAGCGGCGCACTTTATTATCTGGCGCCTTCTGCGTGTCCAAACAGTTATGGGCCTATGGGTAAAGGATATGATTATTCTTGGAACCAAACTCCCTTTAATTTGTCATAAGTGTTTAGCATTTTTTTTTTTTTAATTTTTGGCCTTTTTCTTTAGGGGAGTGATAGGAAAAATAATAATTAAATAAAGGAAAATCCTCATTTTTAGACACTTATTACAATAAAATCTCTATAAATATATATTATTGGGAGTTCGGAACCTAAAATTTTTTTTTTTGGAAGAATTATTAATTTATAATTAGATTACGTGAAAATTATTTTAGTTAACGTTAAAAATATGACGACTGACGAGTCTTTTGAATTACCCCAGTAAAACTGATAGTAATGATTTACAAGATAGTTATGTTTCTTACCAACTGTTTCTCTAAGAGAAATCTATAGAGTATCGTAACTTTAGAGTCTGTTTGTTTTGGATTAAAATCTGATTTTAATCTAAATCAAAGTCAAATAATCAATATTAACCACATTTTTCATGGGGTTCCATAACTTTTCAACAACACATTTCAAAAACTTCTATCACAATCTATTAAAAATCTAATTTCAATTCATACCAAACACCCTCTTATTTTTTTTACATTTTATATGATTAAAAAAAAAAAAAAAAACCACATGTAGTCTATGCATTGTGAAAATTAGGGATGAAAAACTGCAGCTAAATTTTTTTTTATTATTTAAACAAAATTATTAATTTATTGAACATTCATTTATCGAAATTTTATTATAACTGAAAACAAAATAAATTTACTCATATTTTAAGTTGATGTATAGCATATGCATATATGTATTAGTGCACTTTACTTTATTAAAAATTAAAAATTGTTTAGCTTATAAGAGTTAAATAAAAATATATCCATGTTTGGTACAAGTTAAAATTTAGATTTTAATATAAGTTAAAAGTTAATAATTCACTTTAACCACATTTTCATTGGAGCAGTAGTTTTTCAACCATATATTTCATTAATTTTTATCAAAAATTCTAGTTTTAATACCCACCAAACAAAGAATAAATTATTAAATATATGTTTAGTGATGGTATTTTTGCAGATATTTGTTGACCTTGAAAAATGGTTCCGACACATGGCCAACGGAACAAAATTCCACGCAAGCTCTCCCCTGTATACGGTAGCACACCGTCAGTTGCTCGTGACCCTTTCCGGTGGAGGTGGAGGTGGCCGCGAGTACTCCGACGATCAAGTCAGTGTTTCAATTAATCGAGAAGTGATGTCTGACGGTGAAGTGGTCACCGGGGCGTGTAAATATATGTTGAAAGTTTTGATGTAAAGCTTCAAGAAGAAAAAATGGGAACTCCTTACTCTTACCAGTGTTAGGGTTTTTATACTTGAGAAAGGAAGATGTGAGCCGTTGAATGAGAGGACACGTGGAT